TAGTTCACGGGTTTATTACGAATCAACTTAACGGCCTGCTCCCAGTTGGCTTGTTAGCTCAATTGGCAGAGCGCTGCACTAGTATCGCAGAGGTCAGTGGTTCGAATCCCGTACAGGCCTGATTTTTTTCAGGTCTGATTTTCGCTATTGCATAAATAGCGCTATCTACTGCGAAGGATCGTGCATCATACGTATTTAATACCGCAGTTCAAAATATATGAACTTCATATATTCATTGTATCTGATTTATCATCACGGGTTTATTACGAATCAACTTAACGGCCTGCTCCCAGTTGGCTTGTTAGCTCAATTGGTAGAGCGCTGCACTAGTATCGCAGAGGTCAGTGGTTCGAATCCCGTACAGGCCTGATTTTTTTCAGGTCTGATTTTCGCTATTGCATAAATAGCGCTATCTACTGCGAAGGATCGTGCATCATACGTATTTAATACCGCAGTTCAAAATATATGAACTTCATATATTCATTGTATCTGATTTATCATCACGGGTTTATTACGAATCAACTTAACGGCCTGCTCCCAGTTGGCTTGTTAGCTCAATTGGTAGAGCGCTGCACTAGTATCGCAGAGGTCAGTGGTTCGAATCCCGTACAGGCCTGATTTTTTTCAGGTCTGATTTTCGCTATTGCATAAATAGCGCTATCTACTGCGAAGGATCGTGCATCATACGTATTTAATACCGCAGTTCAAAATATATGAACTTCATATATTCATTGTATCTGATTTATCATCACGGGTTTATTACGAATCAACTTAACGGCCTGCTCCCAGTTGGCTTGTTAGCTCAATTGGTAGAGCGCTGCACTAGTATCGCAGAGGTCAGTGGTTCGAATCCCGTACAGGCCTGATTTTTTTCAGGTCTGATTTTCGCTATTGCATAAATAGCGCTATCTACTGCGAAGGATCGTGCATCATACGTATTTAATACCGCAGTTCAAAATATATGAACTTCATATATTCATTGTATCTGATTTATCATCACGGGTTTATTACGAATCAACTTAACGGCCTGCTCCCAGTTGGCTTGTTAGCTCAATTGGTAGAGCGCTGCACTAGTATCGCAGAGGTCAGTGGTTCGAATCCCGTACAGGCCTGATTTTTTTCAGGTCTGATTTTCGCTATTGCATAAATAGCGCTATCTACTGCGAAGGATCGTGCATCATACGTATTTAATACCGCAGTTCAAAATATATGAACTTCATATATTCATTGTATCTGATTTATCATCACGGGTTTATTACGAATCAACTTAACGGCCTGCTCCCAGTTGGCTTGTTAGCTCAATTGGTAGAGCGCTGCACTAGTATCGCAGAGGTCAGTGGTTCGAATCCCGTACAGGCCTGATTTTTTTCAGGTCTGATTTTCGCTATTGCATAAATAGCGCTATCTACTGCGAAGGATCGTGCATCATACGTATTTAATACCGCAGTTCAAAATATATGAACTTCATATATTCATTGTATCTGATTTATCATCACGGGTTTATTACGAATCAACTTAACGGCCTGCTCCCAGTTGGCTTGTTAGCTCAATTGGTAGAGCGCTGCACTAGTATCGCAGAGGTCAGTGGTTCGAATCCCGTACAGGCCTGATTTTTTTCAGGTCTGATTTTCGCTATTGCATAAATAGCGCTATCTACTGCGAAGGATCGTGCATCATACGTATTTAATACCGCAGTTCAAAATATATGAACTTCATATATTCATTGTATCTGATTTATCATCACGGGTTTATTACGAATCAACTTAACGGCCTGCTCCCAGTTGGCTTGTTAGCTCAATTGGTAGAGCGCTGCACTAGTATCGCAGAGGTCAGTGGTTCGAATCCCGTACAGGCCTGATTTTTTTCAGGTCTGATTTTCGCTATTGCATAAATAGCGCTCTCTACTGCGAGGATCGTGCATCATACGTAAATAGATATCTCATTAGCTCCCTTTGTTCGTCTACCAGCATTTAAATTTGAACTGCACACGTCAACGGTGAGTGACAAATGAGCCTAGGTCTTCCCAGGGAAGACTTCCTTATATAGCGCGCCTTCGTGTTTAAGATGAACAATAAAAACATCACTTCAGCCTCTGAAAGGGGCAAAGTAATATTAAGTCGAGACAAAAAATTTAAAAACTTGGGCAGAAGCTACTGTTACGTTTGGTAACAAATTCCCTCTGAGTTTGATCAGTCAAAACCTTTCTGATGATAAAACAAAGGGCATACAATCATATATCAAGTTCATTTCGTACTGCTACGGTAAACATGATTACGGTGCTCAAGGTTTTGACGTCAAAATTAAAGTTACTTTCCCGTGTTAAATTTCATTTTAAATGCTACTGGGTTATGAAATCTTAAAATTGAGAAAAAAGTATTTTTCCGTTTAAAGTTGATGAAAAAATCTTAGGGATTACTTCTGAACGAATTTGTCCCCAGGAGTCCTACTTACACAGGTTTCTGCTGTTATATAACACATATAATGACTATAAAGGAACTTAGTTATTTTTGTGTACAAAGAAATACGAATCTCATCACTAACATAAAGTTAATAAACATTTTCCCAAATTCAAGACAGCTACATGTAAACAAATCACATCTGTCGGCATCACATACCACCCAAAATTGCAGCGCTTAAAAAGATGCGATCAAATCGCGACACGCATGTACCATTTAAGGCAAAACTGAAATTTCCCTTTAACCATTCCTAACAGACGGCCGCTGAATTTTTGTATCGCAGCTCTGAGAATTTGCTTATTCAAGACAGTTTCGTCTGTATGATTACATTCTTTTTACTCTTCACAAGTTAGGCCGGTAATCTTTCAACATTGTAGGAAGTAGTTCATTAATTGCTCCTAGGTAATTTAAGCTAGATCCAATCCTGCGAGCGTTGTACCTCAACCTTTGCCTGTACCTGTTGAAGAAGGATCCTTAAACGATGAAGCTGAACTTGCAACTGATAGTTATGTTCCTCGAGAACTTCTTCACGTGCCTCCAAACGTTCCCTCTTGCGTCGTAAATTGGCCTCTCTGGAAGGGTCCTCAACAGGAACGATAGGTTCCCTTTGATGCTGACGTCGAAGTTGATATATACTATCGATTTCGCCTTGTAAGGCCCTGGACAGAAAGAAAAGATAGAACCACCCTTACTTCAAACAGCATTCCCCCTGAATCTGAGTTTTTTTTACCAAACTTGCAAGTTGAAGAAACGGAATGAAACTAAGACTTACACAAATGGTGCACGTTCGACGATAACTAGTGAAGCAAACTCAAACCATTTTTTAATTATGGAGTACTTAAGCAAATGACCCAAACTCTACAAGTGTTACAAGAGAAAACGCGAATGTTTTGATAAAGGTTACTTTCACAAATGGTGCACGATCTATGAGAAAAACTAGGGGAAACTAACACCATTCTCATGAAGGATACTTAACCAATGGCGCATAATCCATGAGGACTGGTAAAGCAAATGCCAACAATTCTAATAAGGAATACCTTTACAAATGGCACATGCCTTAAGAGAAGAAGTAATGCAAATTCAAACCATTATAGTAAGGAATACTCTTACAAAAGGCGTACGCACCACAACAACGTATATGGTATTTCACTTTCACCTCAGCGTGCAGAATTTCTGGAGAAAGAATGCGTTAGGACGAGAGTGAGCAGACACCTGTGCATGCCAACACACCTGTTATCGTTTTCCAAACTTTTGATCAGATGCTCCAATTCTACCTTCTTTTGACTATCTCTGTCTCTTGCGACTTGAGCAGAACCGGGAGACTGAAAAGATGACATAATATACACTTTAGGATTACAACCTCTCCGGTCTATGTGCAAACATTGTCCTAATCATATCAATGAACGCTATACAAGGTCGCACTTTAAAAATGTTTCAAAGCTCGAATAGCCATGGGCAATGTTAAATTAAAAAAGTTGGATTCGATCTTTCATCATCGCTTACGCATGCGACATCAAATAACGACCAGCTTCCTTTTAATTTCAGTCATTCTGGTTTAGTTTACGTGATTCCCAGCTGAGACCAGAACGAAAAACTTACTATATTTTGCTGAGGTGCGCCTAATTTCCGAAACTTCGAAAAAAATTACAATGGCAGTAAGAAGTCAGTAGTCAACTCCTCTGAAACACCTACCATTGACTCTGGTTCGCCGGTCAAGCTAGGAAAAAAAGGAGTGAGAGAAGAAAACATCATTTAAAATTAGTGAAACAATAAAGACAAGTGCTAAGTTATCTTTAAGACAGTTCATTTTGAGAAAACCACGCAACAATCAAAACTAAAATGAATTTCTCTGGGACAAATGGGCTATTTTTCGACCTTGCACAAAGGCGTAGCTAGAAAGAGTCCTGTGAACCCACTCAGTTATAAGATGAACATTGAGCCAACCTCATCATTCCTGACACAAAGAATGCGAATCAGAAGGATATAAATGGGAGGCATTACTCAATCCTCACCCAACAGGACAGCCAGGTAAGTACACAGGGCCCAGAAAGGTGGGGTACACCCTTGAAAAATCCTTTCGACGCCCCTGTTCTAGTGACCCAAGTCATCGAATACTTAGCCTGCGTGGCTGGCGATTTCCTACGCGTTTGAAGCAATGAGCAAGTGCGAGAAAACGAAAGCTAACAATTTCGACCGGTTGGTCCCAAATGGCTAAATGAAGCAGCTTTTGGCAGCTGCTTTTTCCTTTGGCACTGAGAACGCAGTCCTTAAGCTAGGAGAGGAATAATTCTGTGACGAGGACATCTCTCAGTTCTACGAAGCACTTTCCTCAACCTCATGTGATGACCGCCAAAGCTTGTGGGTGTCAAACAATGAATTTGCGTCCCCTCTTACCGTTGACAGAATTGTCCTGTCGGTCGCTTGCACGTAGAAAATAATAGAGTAATATTTTTCGGGAGAAAAAAAAATATCCTTTCCACTCGTACATGGGGCTACCTGTCCCGACCAGTTTTAAAAGAGCTATGGCTAATTGCGGGTCAGCTAATGTAATATTGATAACTGACCTGGAGATTGAATAAAAGTGCGTGCGAATCGTCAAAACCAGACAGAATTGGAATTTTCGAAAAAATCTATTTGGTTTGGAGATTCTCTTCAACCGCTTTAACCAACAAAATAACACAAATACATATGATGCACGATCCTCGCAGTAGATAGCGCTATTTAAGCAATAGCGAAAATCAGACCTGAAAAAAATCAGGCCTGTACGGGATTCGAACCACTGACCTCTGCGATACTAGAGCGCTGCACTAGTATCGCAGAGGTCAGTGGTTCGAATCCCGTACAGGCCTGATTTTTTTCAGGTCTGATTTTCGTTATTGCTTAAATAGCGCTATCTACTGCAAGGATCGTGCATCATATGTATCTAATACCGCAGTACAAAATATATGAACTTCATATATGTCATTGTATCTCAAAATAACACAAAGTTAGTTATAGGTATAATACCTCTTTGCATAATGTTGTATCAGACCGTGTTCATCATCCCTGCTAGGAAACAAAGAAAAAACCAACCAATTTCAAAGGGAAGAAAGAAAAAAAAATCATAAAAATCCAAAACGATTTTATGTCAAATGAGGAATGATCTACGTTTGCCATTAGTAGCACTAAAGTAAAGTGCGGTATTGACAACGGATTGATACAAAACACACATGAAGGTGCTCAACCTTCCCTAGACTTCAACTCACACAATGGGCCGAGTCATTGAAGGCTTTTCCCTGATTGCGTTCCTTTCTTCTCTTGTTTCATGACTTTCTGGTCTGCTAAAGAAATTACTAGATGAAAACGACGCCAAAAAAGTGTAGGGAAAAAGAAGTGGGTGAAAGTACAAGGACGGCAGAGGAGAGAAAAGAGAGAAATAATGAAGGGAGTGGACAAAACTGCAAACAAGGACAACTCGAACAAACACAACAGTCCACCAATTGAGTACGGCATTGTATCGAGGGCGGCGTTTATTCGAGTAAAATACGGTATGGCCTAAAGTTCACACTCTGTTGTCTCATTATGCAACTCTCATAATATGTGATTCATCGGTTATCAAAATTAATGAAGAACTAGCTTTCGTGTTGACCATCACAGATAATTGGCCGGCAGTATGTTCAGCTTGCCCTCCCCCCGCTGAAACCGCATGTTTCTGCCAAGTTCAAGTACCTTTATTATGTTGCCACGCCTCCACGTACACTCCAACTTTGGCCAATTCAGGGCAATCACTCACAATGTGGCTAATTGTTCTTTTATCAGATAAAACATTCTGGGAACGACGTTCTTTCGGGACTTGTCGGTATTTGCTTTTATGTGATTTGTTCGTATTGCATGGTTTTGAACAGCAATGATGAGGGCCTCCGACATTGTCTCAAGCTCTCTTCCCTATGCACCCACTACAGAACTTTTAGCTAAAAAATTGGCCATACAGAGTTTTTTTTTTCCATTCTGCTATTCATTTCAACTCTATCCTTCTCCTCTTGTTGTTATTACTGCAGTGCAAAACTTCAGGACACCCAGATCCTAAGCAAGGTAGTTGGGCGGCGCGAGTCGTAGCCATTCGTGATAGAGATTAAGACCAATATCATTAAAAATATACGAAAACCCTACTTGTTAAAATATGTAGACCTGATATGATTCTTCAAAATGGGAAAAGTTCCTAGTTACTGAAGCACTTAAAATACCTTGTCTGTATATATGGATCTACCTTGTGAAACTAGAACAATCCTGTTTGCCTTGACCAGGGTGTTGTCTGCAAATAACAGAACGTCCCAAAACGCACCGACTCGCTCGTTCTCATAAATTGGCTTGGGCTTGACTTGGTGTACCATGGATGCTGTGTAGCTGTTATACAGTGATCTGATCACCTCGAAGAATAAGGTCTTCAGGGCGTTGTTGTGCCTTTCGATGTACTTGGTTTGCACCAATACGCCACAGCCTGCCAGGATATGAGCTACACTCTCCGGCCCTTTGCCACACACTTTCGTCTTCGTTCGGATCGGACCCTGTCTTCCTGTCAGTGTTAGTATACCTTCGTCAGTACAGCTGACGGTAGATCTCTTGAAGACCAGTGATTGTATGCGTCGGAGCATACTTCGAGAGGTGATGCCACGCAAAACGTAATAGAACATCAGTTGTAACTCTAAAATCCATCTGCCTTCAGTATTTATCTCGTCTTTCCACCAGAGAAGCACAGAGGAAACTCATGCTCGTACTTCCCAACGGCCTAAAACCTACTGACCACACCCTAGTGTGAAACACGCGCTTTTTCCACCCGTAGTTTAAAATGCCATCTGGACTAAGTGCATTCCAATTTGTCTTCTACAGATGACCTTTGCAACTTTATCCGCATCCAGCTTCAAACTACCTCTGGGTACCTCTGGATGCATCTGATCTCTTCAATCCATTCCGGTTATTATCGTTGTTACTATTGTTGTTGTTATTATTATTTATGCTACTATCATTATTATCTCAATATTTCCATTTAACATTAATATCACGCCTTCCTTTACGAACTAACCTAACCGCGTCGTCTCTTTCCTTGACGTTTGAACCTGGTAAAACTTCCCCCGGGGTACCAAAATCCACAGAATCCCTAAACATTGAAAATCGAACAATTTTTTAAAAATAAGCCATATTTTGTGGAATGTTCTGATGGTTCTCAATAAGACCTTTCGTTCGAAAAATTGATTAAGAACGAAGTTGTAAAGATTGATTCTTAATAGAGTTACAAATGGAAACGTTTCTGTCCATTTATTCTCTCTAACTGATAGCTGTTAATCATGAGAAGTAAATTGTTATCATCACACGTTTGTGTAGAGTCTTCCACGACGCGCCTCGAAAGTTTTCGCTGAAGTATTGTAAGTTTAAACTTGTTTTGTCCTGGAAGTAAAAACACCAAAGTTCAACTCCTTTTGCAAGTGCACAGAAGACAACATCGAGGAAAAGAGTGTCACATCCGACCAAAAACGAACTCGATCAGGGACCTCTACACTTTTGGATTTAAATTTGAACACCCTGAAAGTTTTGCCGTAAGTGAATACACCTTCGTGATCTACAATTCCTAAGCTTTCAGAAAAAATTACTCTTCCATGATAAAGTTGCATCAATTAATGACAATCATTTAAAATATACTGATACCACAAGGTCATTTGACACAGTCACAATAACACACTCAGAATTTGTCTCTGTTCTACATTATCAGCAACGGAATTGAAGGCTGTCTTTTTCATAACACAGAATAAAACATTTTAAAAATGACTTACTCATCTTCGCCATCAGAAGGGGCAGCATCTTTCATTTCAATTGGAATAAACCTTCCCTTGGACGGGTCTTTTTGCCTTTTCTTCTTCTTACTCACTTTATTTCGCATTACTTTGGCGAAGTCTTTCATGTCCTCCTTTTGTGTTGACTTTCGAGATTTCAAGAAAAGTAAAGTTATTGTTTTCATCCACGGACTCAGTCAAAGCAGGTAGGAGTGAATTTACGAATGCTACTAGGGAATACTCTTGACAGTTATGTTCTCCTTTAAAAATCATCGGTCGTTTAGTATGATTTTTTGGGTAATGGTGGCCATGAAAGTGAAAGTAGTTGGTGGAGCTTTATGTCAGTGGAACAAACTTATGAGCATTCTGAGACACTGTAACTTTTGAGTAACATAGACACGCCTGGGTGAAATTTAAGAAACAATCAAACTAATAAACTAACAAACGCGCACAAATTCCCACAGTTATATATTAAGATTAAAACAAGAATAGAGACAGAAGCTACTTTCTTACTTTCCGAAGTGATTTGTAGGCAACCAAGATAGTTATGTTAACACTTACCACCAGACAGTACTCCTGTGTGGGGTGACCGATTTTGTGTTGTTTACTCACTCTACCAGACCAGAAGCATCCCTTTATGAAACAAGACGGTGGAACATTTACTGTTCTGTCCCTTTTGCGTTGGTTGGAGGTATAGATCATTAGTGAATGAGACTCGAGACTTCGATAACGAGGTTTTCATGGAAGTTTTGTCAATTCGGGGGTCGTAAAATAATTGAGGTATTCTTGGTTATAAAGAGGGGATAAATGTGTAACACCGCATTATAACTGATAGCATTGGCAAAAATATCAAAACACTTTGAAAACCGTCTCTTGCCATATTCGTCAAAACTCACATCTATAGCAAATGCAAATGAAAACAAGATAAGATAAAATCGGACATAGGAAGCTTAGTCGTAGTACAAAGGATTCAAACAACAAATCAGCCATTATCCAGAATGTTCTTGACAGAAACAAACTAGTATACCACTTACTTGAGCACTTAACAGAACTAAATACCCTCAAATTCTCACCTGACACATGTCGAAGTTGAAACATTTTAAGCAGCGGTATCTAAGGAAGAGCAAAAACGTAGAATACAAACGTCATAAGGTCGATACAAGAAATCGCTGAAGATGGATCGACATCTGACGCTTGAGAGAGAGTTTTCACGGAGAATTTTAGAGCAAAAGAGTTTTCGGCGACGGGGAAGAAAATTGCCGTGGGTGTGAAACGTAAGTTGCTCAAGATGAAAGCTTTGAGTTTCAAACCATACATGTCTCTTCTTGAAGTTTGTGCGACTTTTGAAGTAATTTTAATTGACTTTCTTCGGTAAATTTCGATTTCTCCTCTCCTGCTTTTTTGGCTCTGTTATTAAAGGTCTAAATGCATCTGAGGACTGGACATAAGTAGGAAACTGTTGTTTTCCTTAGCTAGGTTTCACACACAGTAATGACTGTTCAAGACTAGCAGGAACAGGTTATCAAACCTTGGGAGCATGCTCTATGTTGAAGTGCATGGTTCGCAAGTTCTTTCTGTTTTTCTAAAAAGCATGTAAAGGCAAATCAAATACATCCAAGGCACTTTGACCAAGAAGTAAATGAAACAAATTCTTCATTGCACTCACCTGAAGCCGACTATAGGGTACATCTTACATACATTGCATTTGGACTCGTGTTTTACTTAAAAACAAAAGGTAGCAAGGATGATCACAATTAGCTCGCTTATTTCTTTTCCATGTTACAACCCAAAATCATGTGAACAATGACAACGTACATTGCGAGACTCTTAAGGAGAAAGGTAGACAATTGCGTTTAAAAGCATGAGTTGATCAACTACTTGTACAGGAGATTTGTGAATTGTGGAGTTTTAACAATAGTAACAACAATTTAAATAATAAAAATAATTAAAACAATTTGCAGAATAAGAACTGCAATCATAATAAGGATGAAAGTAACGACATGATAACATTGCTATGTGAAAATTAAAGATAAGAAACAGCCAAGCTGATAGCCCGTTACACGCGTTCAGTTAGTGCAACGTAGCGAAATGGTAATCGGCGCAATAGTAAATAAATCAAAGGGTAACCGAGAGGTCACACGCCAAGTTTTCCTATGAGCAATATCGTTGATTTTGTCGCTTTCAGTTTACTTGAGTCAGAGTTCTATCAAAAACGTCTAGGGCTGGGTCACGTAACGACCCATGCCCGCCGGTACCATAGCGTCGTTTGCTATCGCCTGAAACAAGCATGATAGAGTGTCAGAAAGTTTCATGCCAAATAATAAAGGAGAACAGATGTTTGTAAATTATTAGTTGAATGACTTGGATGATCAATCTCCTAAGTTAGTAGGCCTAACAAGTACTTTTGTCTAAATAGATTACGTTTGTGTGAACTTTCACTTGAGAATGATATCACGATGTCGAAACATTGAGTTATTTTAATCTACGCTATTCTCAAAATTTTAACCCCATGTAAACTAATAGTACATATACTGGTGACAAATAATAACGATGATGATGATGTTGACGCATCTAAAATTCACATTTTCCCTGCAAAGATGCGCTTGATTAAAATTCATGGGTGTGACACTGGATGTAGGCCTGTTAAGGCACCAGGGGTAGCTGCTGATCACCCATAAGTGATCTCACTCTCTCTTGTCAATGAACAGACCCACTCACAGCAGGACGGTCTCATTCCAAGGATGATATACATTTAGTAGCGTCTCTTTAATTAAAATCCCGTTTAACTTAAAAGGCGGAAAACACAACAGGTATAGGAACGACACATATCTTCTTTCATAAGTCCTATGTCATGGATGTCCATAAAGAGCGACTCTAAGGGAGTGTTTCACTAACTTTTTTCAAGTCAACATATATACGTACCAGTCTCTGAGACAGCTAGTCTGTGAAGTGTGGGTAGCCAAACAATTGTTTGTGGTTCTGCAATCATCCATTCGATGAACTCTCCAGCTGACGCTCTATCAGGAATGGACACCTGGTTGACAAAATGGAACGGTGCAAGTGTGGCATTAAATACTAAAACCCTTTTTATTCAGTTTCCAAAAGTAGTAAAATGAAGATCTGTAAGAACATTACTGTAGCCATTGACATTCGGGTAGTTTGGAGTTCTTTAGCATACACAAGCTTATGTATCTAAGGGGCCTTTACTAAGATGCACTGATTCCACTTCTACACGTCACTGGCAGTTTCATAAAATCTAAAAAGGCGTCACCTTGGCCCTCAGAAAATAAACATCCTTCGGGTGGTAAAGGATGATGTTTGCAATTTAACGGGGAGTTCACGAATCAAGTAATGGATTTTCCTTAAATCGCAGAATTGACTAAAAATAAGGAAAAAGGAAATAGCAGTAGTGTTTTTAGTTTTTATCCGGAGCGCAACAGAGATGCGAAACATTGTCACTTAGCCTCGTTTTCGCCTCACAATTCCGCACTAAATACCTCGCTTCGTTAACCAATCAGAATGTGAGATTTTACTCGATTACGCGATTCTACGCAAATTAGATTCACTAGAAAGTGAAGAAAGATTCGTTAAATGGCAACGCATTGCAAATTGCGACTTTCAGCAACTTAAAATTGGCTGATCTACATCTCTTTATCTTTATTTACCGAAATTCAGTTCACTCTAAATCCAAAAAGCAGTTGATTTCAAACAGAAGTCGTATTCAGCAAAAACCGGAAAATGAAACAAGACGAATATAACGGCAAATCATGTAGAGCGAACTTCGACTAATTAAATCTTACGAGCAGGCTTGAAAAGTAACTTTCCCAAGTTATTTGAAGAAACCTTCTGAATATTATTCTTTGAGTTCTAATACTAACATGCCTTCGTTTAGGTGACGATTTTACGTCACCATAAATACTTTTTGCAATATTATTATACAGAAAGCGCGGTCAAGGCCATTCAACTGTGAATACCCGGTAGTTAAGGTTAATCTCGTCGTCCAGTTTCATTGTCACCCCTTTCTCCTTCGATTTTGTCCCAAAGGATAAAGTTTATTCCCATTCACCGACAATGGAAAAAGCTTTAACTTTAAAAATAATTTTTGATAGTTTCATGACGAATTGCACCAGCAGCAGAGGTTTTCTTTAAATAGGGGCCGGTAGAATAGGGCCTCACTGTCGGCCTAACTTCGCCGATTGACCTTGGGGAAAAAAAAAACACAGAGTTCTTGCTAAAGTTTTTCATAGGAGGTAAAAAATAAGAAATAGCAGGGACTTTGTTACCTTCCCCCATGCTGGGGTGTGCGGGCCGCATAGGCCCCCACCGGGGTCTAGGGGTAGGTTTTCCACGTGTGGACACCATGTTGCCAACCGTGACGTTTCTCAATAAATGCTGGGCCTTTTCGCTTGGCCGTAAGAATGACATGGAAAACATGGCAGAGGCCATTTCACGAGGTGACTGCGAGGAACGAATTTGGTCAAAAAAGCAGGATTTCTTTAGCATATTGTGTATTTTCCAACCGGTAACATGCGATAGATATCTTCACAACATTGATTGGAAGGAGAAAAGAGAAATTTTTCCAAAAAAATTAAAAAAATCGTTGAATAACTTTAGTAAATATTTCAGTCCCGGGTCTCAGTGAAATAGCTGGTAAAATTTACTTGAACAGCTGGTAAAAATAACCGGTTACCGTCTCTTAACAAGAACCCTGAAACAGGAGCTCTGCTTGGTCAAAATCCTTATACGCTAAATGTTTTCTAGCGTCACCTCAAATTTTGCACTGTCGGAATGAACAGAAAGTGCAAAACCATCACATCATACCCTTTCAAAGCAGTTTCTCACAGCTGGCTCCACACTTGACCCACTGAAGAATCCGCCCTCAAAAATGTTCTTGGGAATCTACACAAAATTAACTGGATTAATATATGCATCATGACTAACAACCTCCCCCCCGCCTCCAAAAAAAAAAATATTGAAGTAATTTCCTATTTCAATACTCTAGTAAAGGCTAAAGACAGAGGTACAGTATATAATTCTGTATAATTCAGTTAATTCTGCATTTTGTAAAACTGCATACAATGCATGTGTACATGTATGAAGTAATGAGTCAAACTAATGCAAAGAGAAATGTTAGTCCTTAAACAAGAATGAAAACAAAAATTACCTGCAACATCTCTTGAAGGAACAAATCAAGCCTCTTTCTTTCCAAAAATCCCTGGTTATTACAAAGTTGCGAAAACAAATCTTGAAAAGAACAAAGAGAAAACAGGTTAGTTACATGGGAAAATCAAGAAACAATCCCAACAAGTGATAGAACGTAAAGCAATTATTACCATTTAAAATAATATTTGTTTGCCTACATTCTCATGACATCTGGTACATACATACATACATACATACATAAACTTTATTGAAGTGTCAAGGTATTTAGCTAAAAGCTATTTGTGGACACTATAAATGAATAACATGAGTATAATATAGGATTAAATAGAGTATACGTAAAAATATTAAGGATATATTCTCAAAATATCATTAATATATATAAAAAGCATCAATATATAAAATTGTTACAGACAATCATATAAGCAGCAATAGAATGTATATACAGAATTTAGAAAGTCAAAAGTCTAGAAAATTTAAATAAGACAAATTTAATAGAGGATAGGGGAGCAGACTCCCAATACACCTGGCAGCCGCACAGCAAAAGCCAATATGCATACCCACCTCTTTAAGATGAGCATGCACAGCAGCCACACATGCCATCAAGCAAGCCAAGCACATTGAGAGCACGCAACCCTCTCCTGAATGCCTGAAGACTGGTCTTACTGCGTAGTTCCTGGCTTATCTTGCCCCATATGTGTGGGCCTAAATATCTGATACTGTGCTTGCCATACTTAACAGTATTATATCTTGGAACGGAAAAATCACTTCCAAAGTTACAATCATGCTTATCTTGCTGAAAAAACATATTACATACATGCTCTGGAGCTAGTGAATTTTTAACCTTAGACATTAAAATTAGTATATCTTGTAACCGTCTGTTCTCAAGACTAGAGAGTCTTCCCTTTCTAGGAGTTCCTCATACGTAGCGTTTCTATCATTATATACAGCACGTAATGCCCATTCTTGTACCCTTTCTAATTTTCTTGCATCAGATGCTTTGCAAAAATGCCACACTATGTGACAATAATGTTAAGTTAGGTAGAATTGCTGATTTGTACAATCGTAACTTGGCTTCTCCGGGAATCATTTTTCTGAGACGTACTAGAACACCAACTTTCCTACTTGCCCTTTTACATAATATCACTTATATGAGTACTGAAACTAAGTTCATCATCTAGTGTTAGTCCCAGTAACTTGAAGTCACCAAAAAGTTTTCAAATGGCTATAATCTGAAAGTACTCTTATACAGGTTCTTTTTTTTTTTTTTTTTCTTTAACTCTACACCAGATGCCAAGCTGGACTTGTTAGGACAGACTGATACCTACCATGCCCTGCACAAGTTCTATCAAGACCCTTCCGTGTGTGTTCCAAAGAAATATCAATTTTACTCTCATTTTTAAAACTCAAATTTGAAACTATGTTTTGCTTTTGATGGGCATATCCTGCTTTAAGACTTGTATTATTTTCATTGCGATTAAATTATTACTGTCTCAGCTTTCCAAATAATTGTATAGGTAAAAAAAAAAAATCATTAGGACTGACAAGTTATATCTCTTGCTGGAGGAATATCTTAAATACGGTTACAAAATAATAATAAAAAATAAACCTACATCTGTATTTTTCTTGAATCTTTTCAGAGCACATGATGGAAAGACAGACTTTCAAAGAAAGAATTGGCACATATCCCTTTCTCTCCCTACAATGACAGAAACAATAATGGAAGAAATCACAACATTGAGGGATTGGTGATGGTGCTAAATGTGTATAACTTAGAGATATACAAGTACAGACTAGTTGTACAGTGCTTTGAAGTGGTATACCAGAGAATATTCTAAGTCATTTGTAATTTCTTGGTAAACACATGGGCACTTAATCAAGTTTGTGTGCCATGAGATACAAGTGACAAGTGGGATATTCCATGTTACTATTCTATTACTACACCATATTACCTTATAAGGGCATTGGAAGCATTAAAGATGCCTTGCTACGACACTGTTGAAAAGGGAATGCAGGGTAGCAGAAAATTTCAATATTTGTTTATTTCTTTTAATCAAGTTTTAATCAATGCTTGACTTTTAAAGAAACAAAGTGTTAAGCACATCAGATTTTTTGTTAGTCATGTAATTACTCACGGATCATAGACATTGAGGATCCAGTTAAGAGTCAGTTCACTTGCTAAAGACACATCAATAAATTCATTCCGATCTCCATTCTGATTAACAAATACAGCAGTGATGATTTTGGATAGTTTTGCTACAGACAAGTTCCCTTCCACATATCCATTGTTAATTCCTTCATCACTGAGAGACAACCTGACTACATGCAGATCAACCATATACACTGCAATAAAAAGGGAAAAAAAAGTTAAATTTCATCTATCTATAGTTCTTTTGGACTCTGAACAAGAAAAGAATGGTGAGAGCTATAATGTCTACAATTTAACTGTAATGTTTGGGGTTAATTTCAAATTTGCAAACAAATAACTTTGCAACACAATAGGATGACTGTAAGTAGAAAATGTAACATGAAACCTTTGCCTTGATAAATAATCATTCTCTCACAATGATTTTGGTACACAATTGCCACCATGTTGCTTTTGGTGCATGTACTGTTTAAAGCACTTCCCCAAACTGTACATGACTAAATCAGCCCACTTGAGTGATTTCTTTGTTTGTACTGACAAAGTTTGCTACACATCTATCTGTTTAAATCTACAATTATTAAAGTTGTAATAACAATGATATATAATTCTTTGAACTATGTGTAAAAAGAAAGGCCAAACATCTACTTTCAGTTGATTCAGAGACTACTTGAGATAAATATGAAAGAATTATTTCCATCAAGTGTTACAAGTGTCTAGAAATTGAGCTAGTGTTACTTTATTTTTCTCATTGTGGGTGATTTGCAATGCAAGTACCCCATCAACTGCCAACCGGTGTATAAGGTCATTGAACTTTTGATAATTAACAACATTTGATATCCAGAGATGTTAAACTTTAGTCCAGTCAGGGAATGTGTTGTAGTAAGTTCTAGTTCTTTAAAAATAAATAATTGAAAAAAAGAACATTCAACTAACTAAATTTAAATTACATTGAGTTTTCTTCTGAATAGCCCTAAGCTTCATGGCTGTTCGGTACGCAGCGTACTTAATGTTACTGAAACTCTCTGCAACAGATAAACAAAATATCACAGTTATGAAAATTCATGTTATAAACCCCAGATTTTTTCCAATATCATAGGGGGAATTTAAATGTTTCGATTTTGATAAATTCTCACCAGATGTCTCTAACTGGATTAAGCAAATGATGACAGTTTAATAACAAGAAAATAAACATTAAAAATGTGAAACAAATTAAAGAGCCATTACTTAACTATATTAATATTATAAGAAATATCTAAATTAAACATTCTAAGGAAAGCATTAGGCTGAGCTGGTTTGGGCACAAAAAAAACCATACAAAATGTGAATAGTCTGCTCACTTAGCTGAATTACTGTGTTTCACCATTTTAGAAGCAAGGAATCAAGAATCAACTTCAATTTAACACACAACAATGATTATAATTTTTTTCACCTGTCTCCTCCAGTAGACTGACCATTTCTGGATGATCCCACTGGGTTTTTTCAGTTTCGTGACTGCCACAAGAGAAAAATGTATTGTATGTTACTTCAATTGTCTGTGTGTGCAAGTAAATATCAAAATGTTATTTGTCATGCTCTAGTGATGATTCTGTCAAATAAACATGTATAAATATGTTAACAACCAAGTCACAACAAAATTGGCAACTTTACAGCTGATGTTATTAACCTAGTGTTACTAAATAAAAAAAAATTAATCTAGAGAAATTCAAAAACCTTAATTATGGAATGTGAAACTTATGTGATAATTAACAAATAAATGAACAATAATTAAAATTAGCTTCTATTAACAGAGAGTAGAGCTCTCTTTTTCAAAATCAGTGTCCTTGTTAATGTTTTTCTGCGATCATTGCAATTTATCTTATTGTTGCACTCCCTAAATTCATCAGGTATCAAATTCTATGCAACTGAAACTCTAAGTCTAAAGGTTCTTGGACCCAATCCTTTAATGGTCTAGTTACCTTGAGTGATTTCCTTAAGTTATAATGAGAAGTACTCTCAAACACTAATCAATTCATTTCCTCTCCAACCAGGTTATGAAAATCCTTACGAGCAATAGTCAGCAAGTGAAAACAGCTGCATGTAAGGTACTTCACCAACATCATTTTATATCCATAAGTAACAAAGGTTACGTGTGGAAACATTTTGGAACACCAAAAAAATTCTAGAATGAACTGATAAGCTAAAAGTGGCCAATTCGCAACCTTTTAACTCACTAATTTAGCTTTACCATCCAAGACAGTCCTATTTAAAAGTACAAGTTTAATTTTATGAGCTAAATTTTTTTCAGTTAACGAATAAACCTTTTCTCTCTCAGAAGTACAATGCGTAATTTCTCCTAAAGGAAAGATTTCCACACAGTCCCATACTATTCTAAAACAAAGACGAAGCTCCAATGCCAATCTGTTGCTTAGACCATCGTTTTCTTTCTATCAACGAACTCTATGCATAATAAAGTATGGGGCTGTGCGGAAATCTTACCTCTTTCGTTACTTAAACACTTCTAGAGACCATTAGTTTGTTGTTGTGAATTTTAGCTTTCAAAGGAGAAATCAGTATTAACATATTCCAGTTTTCACCTCCACAATTACTTTTTCAGATGAAATCAAATTTCACAGTACATAATGCCGACTGAAACTTCCACAAAACAAAACATCCATGCAAATTATGAACTTACTTTACGTAGTATGGAATTCCGTTGGCTGTTTCAGAACGCTCCCAGCCATCTGGTAATTTACCTGGAAATTTGAAAGACAGGCTTTGCGTAAAATAGACCTTTACTCTTCTTCCCTAGACAACGCCAAAGAGAATTTTGTTTGATTGAGGACAACAACACGCCACAGCTAGATGTGTTTTACACCAATCTACATTACTTTAATGATGATATCTTTCCCCATGAACTTACTTGTGACCCCAGGCATTATGTTTTCACTTTGAAGGGTACAGACAAGGGGCTAAATGGCTACGACATTTCTAAGTTTTACACTTGGGAGTTACGTATGATGGACGTATCTCACTTGGGAGTTAGTTGTCCTGTCAGTCACTGGACGACTGAACGACGAACGACTCACGCAACGCGTTGTTTATCCGTCTGCGGTCTTCTTGTTCCAGCGGCATTCGATGTAGTCCCAGCATGCTCTCTTCGGTTATCCAACATGGCAGTGAGCCTTTACGTGAACCGCACGGAGTTATGGCTTGCAAATGCAAGTTTCCGACCATCTTTTCGCCTTCCAGTACATTTTCATCCTAGCATATTTTTGAAATGGTTTCCAGGCCACATGGCAAAAGGTGAGAAGTGTTCCAAACCTCTATTTCTTCGAAAAAATTTGCATGAATGATTGCCACCAGATTGCCAAGAGGACAGTACTTTCACCCCCACTCCTCCCCTGTCTATCTGACCACAATCCTTTGGGAGTTATGAGCCAAAACTATGGGGAAGTAAAAAAAGAAGAATCAAAGTGGGACAAAAATGATTGTTTTTATTCAATTAAATTTCTGGTACAAATAAATGTGCACTTAATGTATGGTTCTGAGGGAAACAGTTAGCTGTGTTTTCCAGAGAGTCCTGATGTTCCCCAAGACAAAGTCGAGGCAAACATCAGGACTCTTGGGAAAATAAAACTAACTAGTTTCCCAAGGGACCATACATTAAGTGCTTTGCTATATATTTAGACTGTAATGATGTCACCTGGATGGCCGTGCAACAAACCAGATTTAACTATAAAAAGAAACTACACTTTATTCAGCCGCCATGACACCCAGAAAGCATGGCCCACACAACTATCCTTGATCCTTTGCATGTTTACAATGTCTGAGAACTTCCGCAAACACAACTTCCAGTAAACAATACTATCAAAACATTACATCCCTTCCTTTCCTTAGGGACAAACAGATAACAGCAAAAAAAAATCTATCTGCATGAAAACTGTTCAATAAAATTTAGTAACATGAAACCGCATCTAACAGACGTCAACATAAGTCCAACGTGCCAACAGAGTTCAGTTCATAAAGTACATAGTCCTTGTACTTCTCCAGCATTCTGACAGTCTGCCTTGGTCTTGATGTTGCTATATTCTCCTATGGTGGAAGGGAAGCGTCTTGAGAAATGGCCTCTGTGGCTTCCGGTAATTCCCCTGGTGGGTTGTACCGCTTAACCAATGCACTGTTCCGCCTATGTTCCACACCCTCTTTGGACCTAACAGTCACCTCACTGCCTCCTTTAGTCTGCACTGTGTATGGCTCACTCTCAACATTTGCTTCTAGCTTGCCAGACGTTTTCATGTTCTTCACTAAATCCAGATCCCCAGGTGTTACAGGGCTTTCAGCGGCACCCCGCTTGTTGTCAGCATGTTCTTTGTGGACCAACTTGTGATTCCAATCACGATCTCTGGCCCCTTGTCCAACAGGTTACCAGTGCACCTTAACTCTGGAAGTTTTGTTTTCAACTCTCTACCAAACATGAGGAATGCAGGAGTAACACCAGTACTTGTTTGCGGTGTGGTTCTATAGGCTAACAGAAACTTCTGCAGTTCTTCGTGCCAGTTCTTTCCCTCGATGTGAGCATTTTTCAAAGACTTAAGCAGAGTTCTATTCTGTCTTTCGACATGTCCATTAGCCTGCGGCCAGAATGGTGGAGATGTCAAGTGTTTGATTCCGTGATCAGAGAGAAACTTCTCAAACTCCTCACACCAAAACTTAGGACTGTTGTCAGATTTGAGTGTAAATGGAAATCCATATCTGTAGAATATCTGTGTCAGCACATCCACCACTCTCTTAGCTGCTGTTGAGCGCATGATCACTACCTCGTAGAATCTACTGTAATAATAATAATAATAATAAAAATAAAAAGCAATTATATAGCGCTAAGCTCGACTAGTTCTCCATAGCGCTTTACAAAATTATAGACTAATTAACATAGCAATTACATTATAAAAAATCGTAAATTAAAAAGCGTCTTTGAACAAGTATGTTGTAAGGTTCTTCTTGAAAATTGCAACAGATTCAGATGTTTTCAAGGAATATGGTAAATCGTTCCAAAGCTTGGGACCGGTATAGTCTACGACTACGAGCAAACTTTCTCCAGTGGGAAGAGGACCCATCAAGTCTATGGCGATGTCTTGACAGGGTCCAGTAGGTGGCTTTACTCTTTTCATGGGCTCAGGAACTTGAAATTCACCTACGACTTGGCATCCATGACAAGACTTACACGTTCACTCTACATCTGAGTCAATCTTTGGCCACCAAACCTTTGTCCTTAAACGTGCCTTCATTTTTACGATGCACTGATGTCCCTCGTGGGCAAGACGCAAGACTTCTCCCCATAAAGCCTTCGGAACAACAATTCTTGTACCATGCAAAATGAGTTTGCCCAACACACGCAATTCATCCTTGACACACACATAAGCTGTCATCTTACATTGAGACCAGTCCCCACTTAAAATGTACTGTCTCAGGCTAGCAAGTTCTGGGTTAATATCAAAAGCCAGTTCAACTTGTTTCGCTGTCAGAGCAACAAGTAAACTTTCCTCAGCGACTGCCTTGACAAAATCAAATTTCACACTTTAGTCTTTAGGTTCACATTGATTGAGTCTTTCGAGAGAGTCTGCAATGTTTGCTTTGCCAGGCCAATAAACCACTCTGTAGTCATACCCCTGTAACCTCAGAACCCAACGTTTGATACGTGCTGAAGGTTTTGAAAGCCTGCCAAAAATACACTCGAGTGGCTTATGATCAGTTTCAAGTTCAAATTTCTGCCAGTACACATAAATATTGAACCTCTCACGAGCCCATACTACGGCAACGGCCTCTTTCTCGGTCTGACTGTATCTCCGTTCCACTTTAGTGAGGTTCCTGGACGTGTATGAGATTGCTTGCCACTCGCCATCCTAAAGTTGAGTCAGCACCACACCTAAACCTTGTGGATCTGCATCGGTAATAATACACGTGTTACAGTCTCCTCTGAAATATACAAGCGAAGTGGCCTGTGCAACGAGCTGTTTCAAGTTGTGGAAGGATCTTTCTTGTGCTTCACCCCAGATGAAAGGCTCATTCTTCCTCAAGAGGCTCCTGAGTGGTTCTGTTTTTTGGGCAAAGTTGGGAAGAAACTTTGCAGAATACTGTACAAGCTGAAAAGATGATCTGACCTGTGAAGCATCTTGTGGAGGGCTTGCCTTTAAGATGGCAGCTACTTTCTCTTCACTGGGTGCAACACCTTGCCTGCTCAGGTCATGACTGAAGAATGTCAGCTTGGGAAGACGAAAGTGGCATTTGTCCCCATTCAAAGTTAGTCCTTTCTCTTTCAATCGGGTCAGTACGGCATGTAAATTCCTGTCATGTTCCTTTATGCCACAACCATGCACAATCAAATCAAATCTGCCAAATTAGCCACTCCCTCCCAACCATGCAAAACATCTGCCACAATTTTCTGGTACTTTTCAGGTGCCGATGTTACCCCAAAGATCAAATACTTTTACCTGTACAAACCACGGTGTGTAACAAACATTGTGATCTCGTGCAGTCTTTCATCAAGTTCCACCTGGTGGAAGCTGCACTTGAGGTTGAGCTTTAAGAAAAGAGTTGAGCTATTAAGGTCGTACAAGACTTTCTCAATTATAGGGATAGGATGTCTTTCCCTCTCTATTGCTGAATTCGCCCTGTGCATGTCCACACAAATCCGAATGTCACCATCTGTCTTTGGGACAACAACCAATGGCGACCCACTCAGTTGGGTTGTGTGACACCTCCTCGATGATGTCTTTTGCTAACAGCTCATTCAACTTCTCGTCAACCCTGGCTCTTAACCCAAATGGCAGTCTCAGTATGGGTTGTGCAACAGGCTTGACATAGTCTTTTACATGTAACTTCAGCTGAAATCCTTCAGTTTCCCGACCCCTGTAAAAACCTCTCTTTACTTCTCACAAATCTCGGCATCATTTCCTTCAGTAGTTAATGAACACACATCAGGGCCGACCCTTAATATGCCCAACTTCTCTGCAGTGTTCTTTGCGAGTAGAGGTCTTCCTTGACCTTTAACCACTGTGAATTCATCCACGCAACTGATACCACTGATTTCACATACAATCTCAGACACAAATGTCCTGATCACCTCAATAGGATCTTTCTACCCTTAAGCAAACAACTTTCTGCTTGATTTCTTGAATTCACACTGGACACTCTTCTTCTTCAAAATTTCCCAGGTTGCTTGGTCGATCACATTGCATGACATGCCAGAGTCAATAAATACTGCGGGTAGCATCACTCCTACAATCTTTAAATCTACTTTACTACCACGTGTAGGCTGACCAACTCCAACTGCAAATGCATAATGATCTTGTTGGCCAGTGGCTGAATCCTCTGATAGTTGGTAAGCTCTCCCCCATGTATGTTTCCTTCACTCGTGATCCCTTGCAAAGGGTTTTCACTCCTTTGTTTTGCAACAGACTGCAAAATGTCCAATCGTGCCACATGCATTTCATTTCGTGCTACGGGCAGGACAATTCTGGTCACATGCCATATGGTCAGTGTAATTACAGCGAAAACAGCCTCTCACTTTTGTCTCCTGAGAACCACTAGACTGTTTACTGGGCTTATTTCCTCTGCCTCTACCCTGTGCTGCCCTTTTTCCTTTTCCTTTGCTGTGAGGTCTGCCAGAAACAGTATTTACCTGACTGGATGACTGATCCATAGCCTTGACCTGCATGTTCACTGCTTCCTGCACACAAGCCAAATCTTGTAAATCCTTCAGAGTAGCATTTCCTTTCTCAAGAAACTTAGGGTGAAGGCTGGGATCCCTGCATTTCTCAATAAGCTGATCTCTTATTGCCTCATCGACATTTTGAAACTCGCATGAGATCACTTTCTGCCTCAACCGACAAACAAACTGATCCATTGACTCTCCTGATGCTTGCTCCATTTGCCTAAACTGATGTCTTTTGAATGGAACATTCAACTGTGGTGCAAAATAGTTATCCAACAACTCCATACTCTCAGCAAATGGCTTGATATCTGCACCAGTCAATAATGTGTAATAAAGCTCCTGTAAATTCAACCCTTGAGTATGCAACAGCAATACAGTTTTCTGTTCATCCTGTGTAATACCTTTTGCCACCATACAGATTAAACAAGTGTTTCCACAACTTCCAGTGAACTGCAAGTGTGTTTGGATCTTCCTTTGGATTGAAGGGAGTAAGGCTGGCCACATCAAGAAGAGGAACAAACATCGCAGCTGGCGAAGCTTGTGAACTTGAAGTTGTACTCAAACTGGTTCTATTGTCCATCATCTTCTGAGAATATGCCTGGACTTTCCGTGCAAATGACTTTGAAAAACATCCACTACCTCACAAAACGAATTGAATCCTTGTCGCCAATTTAACGATGTCACTCGGATGGCTATTTAATAAACCAGATATAACTATAAAAAGAAACTACACTTTATTCAGCAGCCATGAAACCCAGAAAGCATGGCCCACACAACCATCCATGATCCTTTGCATGTTTACACTGTCCGAGAACTTCTGCAAACACAACTTCTGGTAAACAATACTATCAAAACATTACATAGACTTTCTCATAAACAATCATGTGACAAAAACAAGCTGTTGTATTCAGCATAAGGGCAATAACTGTGCAATTGTATCACGGTCAGGATACATTGTAATTTGATTAGGGGCAGTCATCCCTAAGAATCAAACAATCACAGGGCTTGTTGACCGTTACTTATCATGTTCAAAACTGCACTTTTAATGAGCTTGTCCACAGATATATACGGGTGCAGGTGCAGATATTGTAATTACATGTATTGTGGTTGGTGGGTGTGAATAACGAAGGTGCAAGTGTTGAGGTGCTAATTACAATAGTTGTGCAACACCCTCTCTCTCTTGGAAAGAGGACTGATAAATAAATGAATAAGTGTACTAATCAATTATAGTTCAGTTTATCTCGCTTGTGAGCCTACACGGCATAGTCTTTGAACCTTGACGGCTGTTTGCGAGTCCTTTGTGAACGGCAATGTCCACACTCATCTGGACTAGATGGCGCGCTTTCTGATTCCATATGTGGATGGCGAAGTCCGCCTTCTCCTCGAGGTAGTCTGTTCTCTAGCTCCATTTGCTCAAGGTCAGCTGGTTGTCTTTCCTGCTCCTGTTCAGAGTGTGTGGATGCGATTTCAAGCTGGTTCATCCCGGTGGTGTGTCTTTCAGCTGGCTCAGTTCTAGCCTCTCGGATTTGGGCATAGTTTCGTTGAATAGGTCCCATTGCCGTCTTGATCATGCAGGATCTCTATGTGGGTTGTTCGATCACCTCCCCATAGATCCATGGCTGAGACTTGTTTGTTGGTCGTGGCTTGAGAAATACCTCTTCTCCTGGGGCAAATGGTTTCAGCGGGCCTGATGCCCTCTTGTTGTAATGGGCTTTTGATCGGGCTCTCCTTTCTTCGATGTTTCTCACTATAACCTGTCCTGATGCAGCTTGTGGGAGTAGCTGGCTTGCTGCTGTTGGGATGATGTCATGAAGTTTCCGGGACTTGAGTCGCTGTGCTGGTGAGTACTGGTATCCCTGTTGTGGCGTGTTTCGATAGGCCAGAAGAGCCAGATATGGGTCCTCAAAGTGGAATTTTTTCAGAATATTTTTGGCAATCTTGACTTCAGATTCGGCTTTGCCATTTCCTCGACTATGGTAGGGAGATAATCTAATGCTGGTGAATCCGTATTCACGTGCAAAGCGTGCATATTCGTGGCTGACAAACTGTGGACCGTTATCTGTCACGCATTCGTCAGGAATGCTGTGACGTGCGAAGTTTCGCTTCAAGGCTCGTATGACTGCAACGGCTGATGTGTTTTTTAAAGGCCCAAGTTCAATATAGTCACTGTAGTGGTCCACA